GCCCCCCCCCCGCACCTCCTGAGAACAAGCCTGCGCCCCGCCCCACTACGTCCCGCTACGCCCCGTCGCCAGGAAACATGCAAGCGCCAAGGTCTAGCGGCAGCCCTCAACACCCTCCGCCTTGCCCCGACAGAACCCCGCTGCTCCTGAACTTCCGGCCAGAGCCTATCGCCCGCTTCGGCTTGTCGCGCCGGGATGCTAGGACCCGTAGCCCGCCGGGCTCTTTGTGACCCTTGTCAGAAACGGGGCTCGAAGTCCCAGTGGTACCGCAACACAGATCGCCTGCTCTCGGGGTGCCAGCTCTGGCTCACGAGGGGTACGTCCCAGTCGGCTTTGCCCTCCCACCGCCGCGGTGACCAGGCCCTCCAGAGAGGCGAGGCTGCACCCCTCCCCCATTCCGCCCTTCTCAGGGAGTGGGTGGTGAGGAGGGACCTGAGGAGGGACCTGTGGACGGACCTGTGGACGGAGAAGGAGGCTTCAAGGCTGGCTGCCGTCGGTGGAGTGAAATGCATTTGCTTCTAGGAATGATAGCATTATTTTTTTTCCCTTCATATTATCTCATACTCATTGTTTGGTATGGCTATTGTAAAAAAAAAAAAAATAGTGTTGGTGAGTATGTGGAGAAATTGGAACCCTGTACGCTGGTGGTGGGAATACAAAATAGTGCAGTGGTGGTGGAAAATAGCATGGCGGGTGCTCAAAAAAATTAAACGTACAATTATATGATCTAGCAATTCCACCTGTGGGTATATACCCCCAAAGAATTGATAAGTGTCTCAAAGATATTTATGGTCATAGCATTATTCACAATAGCCAAAGTGGAAAATTGGAAAGCAACCCATATGTCAATGGAGGGATGAAGGTTTAAACCTGTGTATACGTGTAATGGAATGTTGTTCTTTAAAGAAGATGGAGGGACGCCTGGATGGCTCAGTTGGGTAAGCCACCAACTGTGGCTCAGGTCCCGATCTCAGGGTTTGTGAGTTCCAGCCCCCCATGGGCTCTGTGCTGTCACGTCAGAACCTGGAGCCTGCTTCAGATTCTGTCTCCTTCCCTCTCTGCCCTCCCCTCCCCCTTTCAAAAATAAACGTTCAAAGATTTAAAAAAAATAAATAAATAAGGATGGAAATTCTGACACATGCCATAATATGAACTTTGAGACATTATGTAACATGTTATGGCCATGGGGGTTCTGATACCTGCAGTATCCTCACTGGCCCATTTGAGTTTCTTGGGCAAAAATTTTCTTTCAACATAAATCTACTACATCAATTTCCTGCATAGAAGGAAAGAGAAATACAGTTCAGCTGTTATCATCTGACTTTCAGAAATCTTTGGTGAGTCAACGTTTCCTTATTTTTTCCTGAGAGGTTGACTGGGCTTTATCAGAGATCATGAGAGTTAAAAATAGTTGTCTGTACAATTTTTAATACATTATCCCGGGGCGCCTGGGTGGCGCAGTCGGTTAAGCGTCCGACTTCAACCAGGTCACGATCTTGCGGTCTGTGAGTTCGAGCCCCGCGTCGGGCTCTGGACTGATGGCTCAGAGCCTGGAGCCTGTTTCCGATTCTGTGTCTCCCTCTCTCTCTGCCCCTCCCCCGTTCATGCTCTGTCTCTCTCTGTCCCAAAAATAAATAAACTTTGAAAAAAAAAATTAAAAAAAAAATACATTATCCCACTGATAAATCAGCAAAAATGGTAGCACTGTGAAAAATGGTAGATTTAAGTTATTGGTTACAATTTATTTTTAAGTGTACACTTGAGAACTAGTCCTTTATGTATAACACTATTGTGCAGTTTTGATTAAAGAGTAACTTTGTGCCAGGCACCTTATGATGCATTATTTTAATCCTCACATCAACCTTATTGGCCTATTTATAAAATGAGGAAACTGAGATTAAGAGAGGTTAGGAAGCTGGCCCTGAGTACATAGCTAGAGTACAGAGGAGAATTTAAGCCTGCTTGGTTTCAGAACCTGTATTTGGATTGTTATGTGTTGTGGAATCCACTGTAACAGCATTAGGCCTTCAATGATTTCTTTGTAACCAGATGCTTCTTTGGGGGTGCCTGGCTAGCTCAGTGGGTAGAGCCTGAGACTCTTGGTCCCTTGATCTAGGAGTCAGGAGTTCAAGATCCAGGTTGGATTACTTTAAAAATAATAATACAAAAAGTAAAAATAAAATATAAAAACACTTTCAGATGCTTCTAAGATCTTGAACATATAAATACCTAGTGTTTTGTTTTGCTTTGTTTCACTTCAGTCCTTTTCAGTGAAATTGCACTTTAACCCTAGCTGATTGCAATGGGTAAAACCATCAGTATTTCACTTCTTACTCCTCCTAAAAAATTAAAACCCAATGGGCCAAATAAAGTAAATTTAAAAATTAAACCATGATTTTGTATTAAATTCAGTTTTGGCGGTTAGTAGATATTTTTTATCCTACAACAGATGTGACAAAAAGAATTGATCTCATTGACATGGTTACCCTTGTATCGAGAGAAATTAGAATTAATATCATCTACTTTTGCACATTGTGGCAAGGAAATTTTTACCATTCATAAAGTCAGCTTGAGCTTGTTTTCCACTGTAGTGTCACAGCCCACTTTTTTTTTTCATGTTTATTCATTTTTGAGAGAGAGAGAGAGAGAGCATAAACAGGGGAGGGGCAGAGAGTGAGACACAGAATCCGAAGCAGGCTCCAGGCTCTGAGCTGTCAGCACAGAGTGCGACACAGGGCTGGAACTGGCAGACCGTGAGATCATGACCTGAGTCAAAGTCGGATGCTCAACTGACTGAGCCACCCAGGTGCCCCGTCACAGCCCACTTCTGATGGAAAACACTTTTATCTGAAATTGGCTAAGCCATTTATCTTAGTAAACACCTAGTTTTATTTATATTATTATTAAAAAAAAACTTTTAGAAGTAGTGCACATTAAAATGTACATCAAAATACTATTTAAACCATTTTCTGAGAAAGAAAGAACTATTCCTGAAGACCTAATTTCATTTTATGGAGCCGAAACAAATACTGAAACCACAGCAACAAGTGGAAAATATACTGATATCACAAAGCTGTGAGAGCTGGAGGTGTTATTTACCAGTAGTAACCTTAGGGTCTGAATATCTTTTTTGGAACAAAGGTATGGATAGGCTTCTCTCTCATCTTGTAGTCTGTGTCATCTCACTTAATTGATTTTCTACCCAATTGATTTTCTTGTATTGAAACTCCTTAGATACAAATTTGGCTCTTTTCAGCCCAGTTTTGACAGAGTGGGGGCTGGAGGAAGGACTTCTGAATCATGTTTGAAGGCCAGCAATGCTGCAGGCTCTCAAGGCAGCAAGTTTTCATCCTGAGAGACAAATAGCGCTGTCCAGAAGCTTCCCCTTTATACCATCACTTCCTCTTGCCTGCTAATAGCGGGAGGGTGAAAAGGAGAGTTCATACAGGAAATGTCAACCTTCATGGAGAAGCCCAAACAGTTTCGTTTACAAACACATCATTTCAATTACTTATATTTGAGGTACAAAATTTTATTTTTAGAAGGCCATTAAAAATACATTCCATTTTTGCCTCTTAAAACATTGATCATTCAATCTCTTGGGAATTTAGAGAATTTAAATACTGTTAGAGGACAGAGGTACAAGGGATACATTTAGAAAAGCAATGATCCACCTCCACCCCCACCCCCACCCCAGCAAAGCCTGGGACTCTTTCCCCGTTCAATTTTCCTTTTGGTCTATGTGATCGAATGCTATGTGGCAACTAATAGTGAGCCTGGATATCTGTGGATAAGGGGCTGAGGTTCATTACTTTATGGCACTGCTCTTCTCAACCGGGGGCGGTTTTGCACTTCCAGGGAACATGTATGTGGCAGTGTCTTGTCACAACTGAAGATAGAGTAGGGGAGAACAGCACTATTGGCTTCTAGCAGGTAGAGGGCACTTTCAAACATCCAAATCCTCCAATGCACAGGGCAGCCCCCACAAGAAAGAATTACCTGGCCCAAGATCCCAATAGTGCAGAAGTTGAGAAATCCTGTTTTACAGTCCCACCTCAGGGGTGTGTGTGTGTATGTATATCATTTAGGGCCAGAGGGGATTTAGAACCAGAACCACAATACTGTTATCAATCACCAGTTCCTAGAATCTGTTCTGACAGCCGGAGTCACCATGCTGCATCCTTCTCTCCCTCCTGGAAGGGCTAAGCACAATGACATACCCTCTCTGTTTATCAAAGTGCAGACAGTGATACTGGATGGCCTGGCTGGCTTCAGTCTTCTGGTCTTCTGGTTCCTTCACTCATTCCTGAGTTTCAGGAGGACTTTGAATGATGCTAGCTAAAGGCACAGTGACCAAGCTTTGAAGCAGTCCTTTTTTGACATCACAGTTCACACACACACACAAAAAGAAGAAATTTCTACAGAATCCTGGGGTAAACTGAGGAAGCTGCTCAACAGTGATCAGCCCCAAAGCTCCAGTCAGAGCATACATGCTCCCTCTTCAGGGCAGAGGTTGGGAAAATACATAAGGTATCAGAATGCTAGGAAAGAACTTAAAAACTTAGTCAAAAATTTTTTTAGTTAACCACAATTAATAGCAATTCCTTGCAACAAATGGAAAATTCTGATATTTTTGTTCTCTATTTTTTTTTTCTCCTTACTCCTTAAAATCCATTCAGCTAATTTATGGAGTGGTGATTGCATGTTATTTTTAAAGCCTGTAGTGACTGATACAACATTTGATACTGAAGTTAACAGACCTTATAGCTTTGGAATGAACTGTAGTTTTAATAAAAAAAAAAAAAA